GGCGAACTGTCCTTGTTCGCCTTGTCCTTGTCCTTGCCCTTGTTTTTGTTGTTGTCGTGGCTGCCCTCGCCGCGCTTCGCCGCCTGCTCCTCCCTGAACTTGCGGCGCTGCTTGGCGATCTCCACCTCCTTTGCCAGCTGGTCGGTCGCGTGGCGCGCCAGTCCCGGCGCCATGGCGATACCACGTCGACTGGCGCCGCCCTGGTCGCGCCCGATGTAGTACTCCAGGCCCTCGGTGCGCATGGGGCCCTTTGTCTCCTCCACCAGCTGGTAGCATCTGGCGACCACTTCCATGCATGCCAAGTTGGACCCGTCGACCTGGTCATACACCACACTCAGAAACATGGAGAGCCCCAGCAAGTCATGGAGGTGGCCCGCCGTGCTGTCGGGCTGCAGGGACTCCTCCGTGAGGTACTTCGTGTGGCGGCCGTCGGGCGTGCCTCCGTGCTCGGTGATGCACCGCTGAAGCCACAAGAACGAGCGTTCTCCCTTCAGTGGGAATGCGTCCAAGGCCTCCTCGCGGAGCTCCAGGACACCCGTGCGATAGTCCAGATGTCGCTGCCCATGGGAGTCATAGCGCAGCGGTCCTAGCGTTCTGGCATCCCCCAGGCCCGACTCGTCAATCAGCGGCTCCACGGGAAGGTCGGCCAGACGCACGGCAATGCGCTTGCCACTGGGCAGGACATGGATGGCACGGTCGTCATCGATCAAGGCGGACTCGCTGAGCTTCACCTCATCATCGCGGGCGATCTGGCCAGGCACCGTCTCGAGGCGGACCCAGACACGCCCAGGCTCGGGCACGTGGCGACCGCGCGGCGTGTCCGTCCCCAGCACAGGCTGAGCCACCTCTCCCGCGGCTGGTGCGCCCCCGTGGTCACTCGGAGGCACCTCCACCAGGGGCTCGGCCGCCTGCAGCGGGGGCGGAAGCGGCACGAGGTCCCCCAGCGGCACCTCTCGTCCGTCACGCCGAAGGTACTTCAGCTCATCCTGCGCGGCGATGCGGATCCCGTCCAGCGCTGCCTCCTCGATGGCCTCGGTGATATACTGCGCGAGGACATCATCGCTGGGCAGCGGCTCGAAGGCGTACAACGTTCCCGCCGGGATGACTGCATTGCCGCCCGTGGGGTCCAGGATGGCGAAGCGAGATCCCCATCCCATGCCAGCCCTGATCGGCTCGGCGTATACGTCTCCGTCAGGCGTGGCCACGAACCATCTCCGAGGGGGCAGGTCGGTACTGGCAAGCCACAACAGGATTCGCTCGTGCCAATAGTCGGGGTCGCCCGTATAGAAGATCGCCACGTGGAGACCAGAGAGCAACTTACCGCACCACTCCGCCGCCGCGACGGGCTGGCCGTCCTGGCTGAAGTACGCTCCCCGGTCTGCGCCCAGCAGCTGCAAGGCCGTCGCCATCGCGCCGCCTGCTCTGGCAGCGCACGGGGCCGAGGCAGCAGGCCGCCCCCGCCTTCACCAGCTCCAGCAGCCAGCTGCCCAGGAGCACGGAGGCCGCCGCCGAGACCGCGGCCGAGGCAGCCGCCGACGGCTCGGGGGGGCGGCGGGGGCGGAGGCTCAGGAGCGGCCGCCCGCGCCCCGAGCAACTCGGTGAGCTCGGAGACGCGGGCCTCGAGCAGGTCGAGGCGGGCGCTCGTCCTCTCGCGCGCGGCGCCGGCCTCGCCCGAGGCGGCCTCCGCCCGCTCCGCCGCGTCCGCGGCCCCCAAGGCAGCAGCCGCGGCGTCCAGCGGCTCGTCGAGCTTGACGGGGCGGCTCGGCTCCGCCTGCGGGGCCGATCGCAGCCCAACCCAGTACAGGTTCGAGAGTGCACAGAACACTGCGAGAACAGAGGCCTGGGAGTGCGGGTGCATACGCTTGACCCAGAGAGACTATGAAAAATGTGATGCCGCAGGGTTCTCTGGAAACCTGCGTCCAACATTCCTGAGACTCTCTCAGCCCCAGCTGCAAACCGAGCCCGCTCTATTATCATCATCGTCATTATCATCGTCATCGTCATCGTCATCGTCATCGCCATCGTCATCGTCATCATCATCACCATCATCATTCGCATGACCAGCAACATCATCACCATCAATCATCATATTACTCATCATGATCATCACTACCACTATCCCATCAGTACCATCAAGCCTCATCGTCGTCCACTCACTCACTCCCACTCATTCGGCCACCCTCATTCGCTCATAACTTATTCACTCACTCTGCGAGAGAGACCGTGATGGCTGTCTTTCTTGATGCCGGTCATTCTGGTCTTTTCTCACTCGCGCACCCTCACACTCACATCACCATCACACCCTTACTCGATCACTCTAATTCACGCATAACTTAATCCCTCTCCCACTCGCTCACTCACTTCTCCTGAATGGCTCTCTCACGCACTCAACCGTTCACACACCATCATCAGCACTCGCGTCATCCTCGTCATCATCACTCACATTCTCAGAACCATCATAATCATCATCCTCATCATCATCACCATCATCCTCATAATTTGCCTGTGTGTCGTCTCGGGCGGGAGCCTCGTCTGTGAATGAACTGCGAAAAAGTCTCAGACGGGAGCCCCCTGTCTATGGGGCCCGCACTTCACGTTAGCAGTCCGAGCGGGCCATCGGAACCTTGACACTGTCGACACTTTGGGGCTCCTGAAGCCTGAATTTTGAGGAAGTATCGGGTGGGAACCGAAGAACTCTCAAGCGGAAGCCCCTCCCTATGGGGCCCGCAACTCGCGTTTGTAACCCGAGCGGGTTATCCTCAAACCTGTTACTGTCCTCGCGCTTGGGCCCCTGAGGCCTGAATATGGTGAAATACCAGGCGGGACCCTCGTCCATAAATGGGCTGCGAGGATGCATCAAGCAGGAACTCCCTCCCTAGGGGGCCCGCGGCTCACGCTTGTAATCCGAACGAATCATCGGAAAACGTATAATTGTCGTCACCCTTGGGCCCCTGAGGCCTGAATATGGGGGAAGTATCAGTCGGGACCCTCGTCTGTGAGTGAATTGCGAAGATGTCTTAGGCGGGAGCCTCCGTTCTATGGGGCCCGCAGCTCAAGTTCGAAATCCGAGGCGGGCCATCGGAACCTTGTAATAGTCGTCACTTTCGGGCTCCGGGGGCCTCAACATGGAGGAGGCATCAGGCGGGAGCCTCGTTTGTGACCGACTGTCGAAAAAGTTTCGAGCGGGAACCCCGTCCCTATAGGGCCCGCAGCTCACGTTTGTAATCCGAGGCCGGTCATACTCAAACCTGTAACTGCTGTCACTTTTTGAGCTCCTGAGGCCTGAGTCTGGAAGATAAATATCAGGCAGGAGCTTCGTCTGTGAGTGAACGGCGAGGAAGTCTGAGGCGGGAACCCTCTCTTTATTTGGCCCGCAACTCATGTTCGAAATCCGAAGCGGGTCATCGGAACTTTGTAACAGTCGTCACTCGCGGGCTCCTGGTGCTGGAATGTGGAAGAAGTTTCAGGCGGGAACCTCGCTTGTGAATGAATTGCGAGGATGTTTCAAGCGGGAGCCCCCCCCAATATGGCCCGCAACTCATGTTTATAATCCGGGCGGGTCACGGAAACCTGTAACTGTCGTTACTCTTGGGCTCCTGGGGCCTCAATATGGAGGAAGTTTCAGGCGGGAGCCTCGTTTGCGACTGAAATGCGGAAACAAAAATCAGGCGGGAGCCGAAGCGGGTCATCGGACTCTTCTAACTAACGTCACTTTTGGGTTCCTGAGGCCGGAGTATTGGGTACGTAAATATCCGGCGGGAGCTTCGTCTGTGAATTGCGAGGAAGTCTCAGGCGGGAGCCCCCTCCCTATATGGAGCCCGCAGCTCATGTTCGAATCCGAGGCGGGTCGTCGGAACCCTGTACATAAACATCGTCACTTTGGGGTTCCAGATGCTTGACTATGGGGGAAATGTTGGGCGGGAGCCTCCTCAGTGAGTGATTGGTGAAGTATATGCGCGTGCCTCTGACCGCGCTGGGTTGCGGGTGTCGCATTAAGCGAGGCGAGAGGCTTTGGCCTCGTCAGGTATGCGAGCCTCTGGCCGCGTGCGACTCCTGTATTATCCAGCCAGCGTCGGCAAGAGCCTCTGGCCTCGTCAGCTGCGCGAGCCTCGGGCCGCACAGTTGGGAATCACTGTCGACGGCGAGAGCCCCTGGCCTCGTCAACTGCGTGAGCCTCTGGCAACGCAGGCTCACCATATCACGAGGCCGACGATGAGGGTGATTTCCAGATTAGCCGAGAGGATTCGCATGCGGGGTCCTACCGTCGGAGCACTTCGTCGAGTCCCCCATCCCAGACATCCGACGATATGGATTTTGATCACATGCGCTGTCCCATGAGATGAGAGCCCGACCCCTTCCCGGCGGCCAGCTGGTCGTCTGGACTCGATTTTGCTCGTCCCAGGATCCGATAACTGAGGGCGTTCAGAGAAGGGGCGTGGAAGAGGAGGGGAGCAAAGCATGGCCCGAGTCATGTGCGCGCACGGGGGGTGCAAAGAGCGTGCGCAAAAAAAAGGAAGGCCATGAAATCTGGTGGATATCATGGTCCTGGCCATGAAGTCCACACCTCTAGTCCACACCCACCTTGAGATCTTCAACGCCTCCAAAGAGGCCAAAACGAACACAACGAAGCCAATCGCAACGTCGCGAACAAAAATCCGAACCAGAGCCCTACACCCCATCTTTGTGCTGCGTTTTCTGAGCCCCGCCATCTTCTGAGAAGCCCTGGCCCCTCTCACTTCCCCCCCTGGGCGCGCCGCCGAAGGAACCCTGAGATCCGACGCTGCGACAAGAAAGAAACATTGCGAAACAAATCACGTCCGGTGCCCTCGACTCCATCTTCTTGCGGCAACTTCCGAGCCAAATCGATATGTGATTGTCCCGGTGACCGAGACTGGGCGAAATCGCGGATTCACAAATGTGAAACGTAGTTTAGTCTCTCTGCCTCCTCCCTCCGCATTTGCGCGCCTCCTTCTCGTTGTCTTCTCTGCTCCTGTTGTTCTCTCTGCAGCCGGCTGGGTCACAGGGGGGACCGCTTGGCCAGTGAAGAAAAGAGCGCGTGAGAAGAGGTCGGGTGCAGGAGCTAACGCCTGGTGCGAACAAAAATTTGCAACGCCCAGATCTCAGGGCCCCCCCTCGGCGCGCCGCCGAACGAAGGGCGCGTCGGCCGGCGCGCCCAGGTCAGCCGCCCCGGGCCACGGGGCCGCCGCCTTCCAGAGCGCTGCCGCGAAGGCACCGCCGAGCAGGGGGAAGAGCGCGTCGGCCGGGGGCGGCCCTGCGTCTCCAGGCCCAGCAGCCCCTAGGCGTCGGGGCCGGCGCGCCTGGCCGACCTGGGCCGCCGCGCGGGGCCGTCTGCTGCAGCGCTGCCGCGGCGGTGTGCGAGGCACTCGGGCGTGGGCTCCCCCTGTTGGCGAAGGGGGGGGCTTCGGCGGAGGCGGCGTCGACGGCGGCGACGGCGGCGGAGGAGCTTCAGGCTGGGGGGCCAGATCTAACTGCAGGAGGCGCACACACACACGATGGAAGCTTGCTGCAAGACTGGTTAGCCAGCGTGGGCCCCAGACAGCGATCACTTGGAATCTCTGCGGTGCAATCTGGATGGTGCAAGTCAATACAGTCGGGGCGTTGACCTAAGGAACCCCAAATAAGGAACGAGGCCCCTTTTTTCCATGGGTTAAACTTCGATTACCCATCGAAAACATAAGGAACACCTGAGGCAAGCTGTGAAACACTTCAGGCTTCAGGAACGCGGAGCCCCTCCCCAACGAAAAGGGTTCCTTCTTCAGGACCCCGACTGTATGCTGCAATCCACATGGCGCAATCCATGTGGTGCAGTCTACGTGGTGCAAAGAAAACCCAAGCAAGGCAATGCAATGCAAAACAATGCACTGCAAAGCGAAGCAGTGCAAAGCTATGCAAAGCTATGCAAATCGACGCAACGCAACGCAAGGCAAAGCAACGCAAGGCAAAGCAATGCAACGCAAAGCACTGCGACACAATGCAAAACAATTCAGCACGATGCAAAGCAAGGCGGCGACGGGCGGCGACGAGCCTGCTGGACCGCCACTGGGGTCCAGTTTATAGCCCGAGAACACAAATACGATACCCGAAGTGCAAGCACTGTTTGGGGAACGAGTAAGACACCTAAGTGCAAGTACTGTTTCGAGAAGGCGAGGGATGGGTTCAAGACCTCCCGAAGAGGGGGGGTCTGGCCATCCGAGAGAAAGGTGGCAGCGACGGACGGCGGCGACGGTCGGCGACGGGCAACCACAAGCCGGCCAGACCCACACTGGGACCCAGTACGGCCCAAGGTGGCGGCGACGGACGGCGACGGACGGCCGCAAGCTGGTCGGACCGACAATAAAGCCCAGTTCTCTGATAATAGAGATTGACAGCCTACCAAACCAACCCAACCCGAAGACCCGATTTTCGGGTTGGGCGTGGTGCGGAGTTCATATGCTTTGTTTCAATGTTCCCCGACTCCCCCCCCCCCACACGGGAAATGGATGGCAAATCGGGGCCTTCGGGTTGGGCTGGGGTGGTCTGGCGGTCGGGAAAAAATCAGAGCCCTAAGTGCAAGCAGCGCACCCTCCGCCGATCTTTGAGGGTCCTACAGTGCCAAAGCATGGGCGAGTCTTGCCCTGGTGCTGGTGCCGGTGCAGGTGCCGGTGCTGGCGCCGGCGCCGGCGGGCGCCCGGTGCCTGTACGTGCCAAAGCCGGTGCCTGTGCCGGCGTCGGCGCTGGTGCCGTCGGGCGCCGGCGCCAGTGCGTGCAAGTGCCCGGTGCTGGTGCCGGTGCCTGTGCCGGTGCTGGCGGCAGCGCTGGTGCTGGCGCTCTTGGGGGCCTTTTGGGCCGTCTCGGGGCCCGTCTGAGCTCCTCTTGGCGCTCTCCTTGGGCCATAGTTATTTACATCACCAAGTCTTGTGATGAGTGTTCGCACTCGCAGACGAGGTGGTCGCAGGCCAGGATTCCCACCAGCAGTGTCCACAACCTTCGCGGATCCCATCAGCCCCCTGCATGGGCGGAGGTGGTCGCGCGTTTCTTCTTCCAACTTCCCAATAGAAATCCTCACCCTACCCTATATCCCTGGACCTCCGCAAACCCTGCAATACCCTGCAAACGCCCTGCAAAGTCCATGCAACACCCTGCGGTACCCTGCGAAACCTTACCCAGTCCCCCTAGGGTCTGGACGAGGGGGTCACGAGGCGTTCGAGCATCCAACATGGCCAAATATGGCTTGAATATGGTCCCGGAGAGCTGAAGATGACTTCCAAGATGGCTTAAGATACCCAATACGGTTCAAGATGGCCTGGAAGATGCCTCCAAGAGGCCCCAAGACTGCTCCAAGACGGCCTGGAGTGGCCGCGGAACCTACCAAGGAAGCCTCCGAAAAGCCAAAACCTTTCGAACATGTAAAAGCAATCCATGTTTTTTGCCATTTTGCCGCGTCCCTTCCGATGGACGTTGGAGGCCTCAAGATGGCCCCAACATTGCCCAATGGGGCCCCAAGAGGAGCTACGGATGGCCCCGCGACGGCAAGCCCCAAGAGCGCACAAGAGCGCTCAAGAAGCGCCTCAAAGAGGGCCCCAAGACGCGACGCTGGGGGCTCCTGAGGGTGGACGCTAATCCCAAGGGCCCTCTGGACGGTGGTCTAGCGCGTTTCTTGTTCCAGCTTCCTAACCCCACCAGACCTCAGAGCGGAGGTGGTCTGAAGAGGTTCCTCTTCCAATTTTGTCATAACACCTCTCCCCGTCCTCTCCCCTGGGCCTCGTCGCAACACCCGCAGTGCCCCAAGAAGCCCCCCTGCGAAGACCCTGCGAAGACGCTGCAATACCCTGCAAACCAGACCCCTGTAATACCCTGTAGTACCGGGCAATGACCCTGCAAAAAACATGTGAAGACGCTGCAGTGATCCTTCAATGGTTTTCCTTCGCGCGGTCATCGTCCTGCGAGATGCTCCAACAGGCCACGAAGCGACCCCAAGACGGATCCAAGTGGCCACGGAGCGTTCAAAGGATGCCCCCATCAGTCCGTGGCCGTTCTAGGCCTTTGATCAACTGCTGGGAACTGCAGTAGCAGGGGTGTTCCGACGGAACGGCGCCTGTCGCCAAGTCATGCGTTCGAGCCGTATGAGCGACTCCATTATCATCACCAACACCGTCGTTTCCATCATCATCACCACCATCACCATCACCATCACCATCACCATCACCATCACCATCACCATCATCATCACCATCATCATCATCATCATCATCATCATCATCATCATCATCATAATCATCGTCATCATCACAACCACCATCATCACCATCACTAGCATCATCACCATCACCAACACCATCATCATCAACATCATCATCAGCATCATCATCACCATCGTCACCATCATCACCATCGTCATCATCACCATCGTCACCATCATCATCGTCCTCATCATCCTCATCATCATGATGATGATCACCATCATCCTCATCCTCATCCTCCTCCTCCTCCTCCTCCTCCTCCTCCTCATCATCATCATCATCATCATCATCATCATCATCATCACCATCCCCCCGATCCCACGGGAGGCTGCCCCCACTCCTAACCTGGCGCACGCTCTGTTTTTCTTGCTCGAGCTGCGCCCAGCCGCCGCGCCGAGAACCTCCAGAAGAACGCCCCCTCAAAGACCCCAAGGCGACGACGGTGCCGTCGCAGCGGATGCTCCCAATGCAGTCAGGACGCCGAAACAAGGAACAGTGTGGGCTCGAAAGGTGCTCGATGCGTCTCAGGCCCTTCCATGGCTGTTCCCCTAGCCCTCCTCGTGCACGCAGGCGCCCTTGGGGCCAAAGAGGGGCTGCGCTCCTTCTGTACCCTTATGTATCTCTCTATATTTCACAGCCCGACCGTCACGGTTTGCAGACGACGAGGAGGAGGGGAGAACAAAAACGACGTCGTCGTCGTCGTCCTCCGACGCCCGGATTCTTTACAACGTGGACCGCCAAAAACCTCGACGCATTCTGGTAAGGGCACCCGGGCGCCGGAAACGGGACCACAACCGTCGCCTGTCCTTTTTTCACGGAGGTCTTGGAATCTGCGGGGGGCCCGGTCCTCCCGATGCTGACAACCCCAAGGCCCGAAAACGGCCGACGGAGGCCGAAGAAATCGGCACACCAATCACCTCCATTCTTGAAGGGGCCCCAGGACACACAAATAAAATAATCCCCCATATTTTCCCATATTTTCTGGGTTTCTGTCTTCCCCTCCACCTCCCATATTTTCCCATATTTTCTGGGAATCGCCGATTAATTGTGTCTGTGTGTTTTTTCCCCTCCTGAATTCTTCTCAAGGCGCGATGTGCCTGGGCTCGATCCTCCAGGAACGTTTCCCGGCTGGACCCATTGTCTATGGACCCGAGGCCTGATGACGGGCCCCGGAGGCTGAACTAAAGGACGAGAGCCGGAGGCTGAAAAATCATGCCGTGGGGAAAAAACCATGTCGCTGGAGATCTGGGCAAAACGAATCGGCAGCGAATCGGTAAATTTGATCGAATCGGAATGTCAGTCGGACAGACGGCCTCGGGAGACCCATTGAAGAAGGTCCCTATAAAACCCCCCCTGGCACACCCTGAAGCCCAGGAGGGGCCGAAAGGCGCCCGAAGACCTCGATGCCTCGACGACGACGACAACGACGACGACGACCACGACGACGACGAGTGGGAATCGAATCGGACAGGCCACTCCTGGATCCACAGCAGCGCCATGCAATCGTCGGGCCGCAACGGATCGACTGCACGTCGGAATCGGGTCGGATCGGGCTGGCTGGAGTCGATGCCGAATCCGAGAAATCCGCGCGGACCTCCGAAAGCTTACGTGCATGCAGTTCAATGACAAGGGCTCCTAAGTTCGCGCTTCGCGCTGCGCGAAGCGCGAAGCGCGAATAACTTCGCGCTCTCGCGCCGCCCCCCAAGGGGGAGAAGAGGAGGACGAGGAGGAGGGGGAGGAGGAAGGAGGACGGCGAAGCGCGAATAACTTCGCGCCCTCCTGGGAGCCCTTGCTTTGATAGATGGGATCGAGATGGGCCCTGCCTGGGCCCTCCTCCGATCGCCGACGCCCCGGCCTGCACGTCCACCAGGCGCCCGAAGTGCGGCCCCGCGGCCAGGCGCAGGGCGCGCTCGGGGTGCAGGAGCCCCCCGCAGAGCTCCGCGAGGCGCTCGCGGCGCCGGGTGACGGCGGCGCTGATCTCGACCTTGCCGAACAGGCTGACGGTCTGAACCTCTTCGACCGAAGAACACACACACACACTCAGAAGGAGAATCCTGGAGGCCTCGCGCGGCAACTTGCGACCGATCTTGCATCGGATACACGGATGCCCGTCGGAGTAACGTCAGGCTCACGTCGGTTTGCGTCGGACTCACGTCGGATTCACATCGGATTCGCACCGGATCCACATCGGATCCACATCGGGCCCACATCGGAGCATCGCCGCGCGAGCGTCGCCCCAGAGCTGACGGGGCGGACCTACGGACTAGATAGTACAACTACTGCGCGCCGCGCATGGCCACCAGGGTAGGGCGACGAAATCTATACATATCCACTGCTCCCTGGCCAGGCCCATCCTCAACCCCGCAGCGGTGTATACGCCACGCCCTCCTGGTTTAGCCAGGAGGGCGTATACACAGCTCCTGGGTTCAGGATGGGCCTGGCCAGGGAGCAGTGGATATGTATAGATTTCGCCCCCCGACAGGGTCTTCCTCATGGACGGACGGCATAGGTGTAAACCGTCGGAGCTCCGCGCGGACTTCTCGGGGCGGCGCCTCCGGCGCCGCCGCTAGGCGCGTGCCTCGCGGCAGGGAGGGGGTCCAGCACCGATCCACGAAGTCGGTGCGAAGCTCCGACGGTTTTTCCGTGCACGCGCTTATTACGTGTGCGGCTTCTGCATCCTCCAGCTCTTCGAGGCCCGAGGGTCGGGCTCGAGGATCCAGGCTCCCGGGCGCGTTGGGCCCTCCTGGGCCTCGCCGGGGCTTCTCGTGGCCACGGGCTGGGTGACCTTCAGACCCTGCTCGGAGCGCAGCCCAAGAGAGGTCCGGGGGCCGATTCTCGAGTCTTGAAGGGGGCCCTCTCCTCCTCGGGTCCTCGAGGGCCTCGCTTCCGTCGCATCGGGCATGCTTGGCAACTTTCGGGGAGCTTCTCGTCGCCACGGCTGGGCGCGGCGCGGACAAGAAGCCAAGACGCGCCTCGGTAGAGGTCTCGGGACCCATGTTGACCAGAGGCTGGTCAAGGGCAGGACACCCGAAGCCGAGTGTGCGCATTGCTGCGAAGGTATGGGTGCTCAGCATTCGAGGCAGCAGTACGACATAGATACTGCTCTTCGTCTTCGACGCAGCATGCTGTCTCTTACGACGTAAACTCGTGCGGATATACGCCGAACATGCGTCGGTGCTGGGCACACTGGGGGCAGAACACCCGAGGACGAACATCTTAGGCTCGAGAGGGCTCAGCCAGCGAGGCACACCCGAGGATGAACATCTTAGGCTCGAGAGGGCTCAGCCAGCGAGGCCACAGTCGGGTTCGGCACTGTTCCGCCCGAGCCGAAGACACGTCATTCACCAGAAACCCTTTGCAGGCCAAGCGAGCATTGGGGCAAGCACCATTCAGGAGGGAAAAAAACACACAGACACAATTAATCCTCGATTCCCAGGAAAATATGGGAAAATATGGGAATTGGGGTGGAAGACAAAAACCCAGAAAATATGAGAAAATATGGGGACTATTTTTATTTGTGTGTATTTACTTGTGTGTCCTAATTTCCCTTTAACCATGACCAACACCACCACCATCACCAGCCCAGATGGGGCGGCCTTCTCTGAAGGCTGGGAAGGGCTTCTCCAGAGCGGCCCGATGGCTTCTACGACTGCGCCATGGACGGCGAGAGGTCTTCTGACAAGCCCCTCGTATTCTTCCAAAGCCGCCCCCTGAAGAAGAACAAAAAGAAGAAGGTGCACAATCTTTCGGAGATCCGTGCGAAGTTCTTGGATCGGCGCTGACCCCCCGCCTTGGCACGTGGAGGGTCCAGCGCCGATCCAAACCAATCGCGGGGACTTCCGACAGTTTCTGTTTTTCTGTGAGCCGACCAACCCCAGACATTCGACGATAAGAATTTTCAAATGCGCGGTACCATCAGATGAGGTCCCGACCCCTTCCCAGGGGTCAGCTTGCCGTCTTGGCTCCAATTCTGCTGGGGGCATCCAGAAAAGGGGCGTGAAACAGGGTGGGTAGCAAATCACATTCCGAGTCATGTGCGCGCACGGAGGGGGGCAGGGAGCGTGCAAAAAAAGAAGAGGGGCCATGAAATCTGGTGGATATCATGGCACTGGCGATGAAATCCACACACACACACAGACACACACACACACACACACACACACGCACACACGCACACACACACACACACATGAGCGCTCAGCCTAGCTGGAGCCGTGTACGTGGCCCACTCGGGGCGCTGTGGCTCACCTTGCATCGGATCGGCTGGCGGCTTGCCTCAGCGACCACCTTCGAGTCCGACCTTGGCACCGTCCTCGACCTGAACCAGATGGCGCCCAGAGACGTACGTGACCAGGTCGTCCAGGGGGTCACGCGCTGGCTGTTGGCGCGCGCCGAGAGCCACATCGAGACACACAATGGCGAGCAGTTCTGGTACCGCGGCATCAGGAGGTGCGTGGAGAAAGCAGTTCGGGACCCTTCCGAACGCGGCTCGTTGCAGTGTGTCTGGACTGACGCGATGTGGCCACGGCAGAAAAAGTACGAGAAGCGTTTGGTTGACTGCGGTAAGTGCCTGGCATGTGTTGCTGAGCGTGAGACAAACGGCCATCGTCTGTACAAATGCCCCGCTCTCCTGGATCCCGCCCTTCACGAGACGGCCCCGTCGGAAGCGATTCTCAAGACCCGTGAGCGTCTAGATCGCCTGGCTTGGGAGTCGGCCCAGGACGATCCGCATGAGTCTGTGCAGTTTGCGTACGCTATCCCGTTACAGCCCCCTGCCTCCGAGAGGCCTCCCTTGTGTCCCGATTTCGTGCACCATTGGGGAGAGGCCGAAATTCCGTGGGGCGGTAGGCTGTATATCGATGGTGGCGGTTTCGGCATGGATACTCCAGAGATCGCTCGTTGCTCCTGGGCCGTTGTACAGTTGCGAGACGACGGCTGGCCCTGTAAGGCGATTTTCGGCTCTCTCCCAGGAGCGCAGACAGTGGCGAGGGCTGAAAGATATGCGGGACTCGTCGCCACCTGCCTCTCCCCACAGGTGTCGTGTTTGATTTCTGATCATTTAAGTTTTGTGGAGGAAGGGCAACGGTGGAGCCCTAGGGACGCGTCCGCGTCGGCTCGCCACGCTGCACTTTGGAGAGCGCTACGGGCCACTGTTGCCCGCCAAGACAGGAGGCCGCCCTCGTTCGGATGGATTCCCTCGCATAAATCCCTGGCCCAGGCTATTGAGCTCAACCTTGACCTCCAGGACTGGCTTGGGAACAGTTGGGCTGACCTGTTTGCTAGTGTTGCCCTGGACTTAGCCAGCCCAGCTAAGAGCCTGGTCCGTAACATCAAGATTCGTATGGAGGAGGCCTGTCTTAATGCTAAATTCGTTGCCTGGGCGGCTGCTCGTGTGGCTGGTTCGGGGGTTTGGGATCCCGCGGATGCCGACCCGAGGCCTCCTCCGCCCGTCACGGCGCCCAGGTCGCTTTCGTTTGTGGCACACGAGTTTGCGGAGCTCCCTGGAGGGGGTATCCGTTGCCTGGCCTGCAACCGTGTGGCACGCACGGCGGAGACCAGGCGATGCCTAGAATCTTACCCATGTGTGCCATCTCACCTGGCCAGGCTCCGTGCCCAGGCGGCCATACAGGCCGAGGGGGTCAGCCCCGCCCCTCCTCGCCCCTCCCCCGCGGTTGCCCTTGCCTTGGCCGCTGCTGCCGCCGCCGCCGCCGCGTCGACCCCGTTGGAGAGAGGTGTGCCTGACCCTGGCAGGAGTGGCAGCCGCTCGCCGAGACGGCAAGGTGACGGCCCCTCCTCCTCGGCGGCTCCGCTCAGGTCACGCAGCAGGCTCGAAGGCACGCAGTCGGCCCATGCGTTTTTCGGGCTGGATCTTTCCGCTCGCGCTCGCACCCCGACTGAGCCCTCGACCCCAACTGGAGTCACGAGGGCCTCGGCTGTTGAGGCCACCCCCTCCGAGCGCCCCGAGCATGGCCCTTCCGACGAGGATCGTCGGGCTCGGATTGCAGCCCGTCTCCTTAGTGCTGCTAGGGGCGCACCTGCTGCCGCTGCCTCTGCCCACCTGTCCTCCACCCCTGAGTCCCTCTCGGGAGGTTTGCTGGAGGCCCCCCTGGAGGACCAGGAGGAAGGAGAGGGCAGGGAGGGCGAGCCGACGTGCGAGGGGGCGGCTGGGAGGGCGGGGGACCGAGCGATGCGAACGCGGGCGACCAGCCCCACTCCGCCAACGGCGGAGCCAGCGACGCCCCCGCCACTGACGGCGGCCCCAGCTGCGCCGCGGGCCCCGCGGGTGCGGGGCCAGGCAGCCCGCAGCCGCGCCGCCGCTGCCGTGGCCGCCGAGGAGGAAGGCGGGGGTACGGGCGGTGGGGCGGGGGTCTCTCACGAGCGGGGACACGAGATCGTCTCCGCCCCGCCTTTCACCTTTTGTCGCAAATGCGGGTATCTCTCGGGCAAGCAGCAGGCGCGCGGTTTGCTGGTCGAGTGCACGGGGCCCCTGCCTGCATCAAATCAGCGCACCTCCCCCGCCCTCCGCGAGAGGGCTCGCCGTCGGGATAGGCTCCTCCACGGCCTAAATCCTTACACGGGCGAAGCCCTGTGAGTTCCTGTCGAGGTGAGAGTGTCTTCTCGTCCTCGGCCCTGGCCTCCGCGGGGTCGGAGGCGCCTTGTTTTCGGTGATCTGGGGATTGCCTGCTTTCGGTTTCTGGTCAGGCCCAGAGGCTCCTAAGCGGCCCATGTGGGCCCGTTGGCACAGGCCACGGTCAGTTGCTCTGATGTTGCTGGACGTGCGCTCTTGATGGCCCGACACACACACACAGACACACACGCACACACACGCACACACGCCCACACACGCCCACACACACACACACACACACACACACACACACACACACACACACACACGCCTCAAGTCAACACCCACCTCGAGATCTTGGACGCCGCGGGGCAAAATGCTCCATGAGGCCAAAACGAACCCTGAGATCCGCAACGACGAGCCACTTGCGAGGTCGCGAAACCTCCCGATCGGAGCCCTGGACCCAGCCTTTCTGCTGCGGTTTCGGAGCCCCGCCGCCTTCCGAGAGGGCCCGCCCCCTCTCCCCTGCCCCCCCAGTGGGCTCGCCCGCCGAAAAAAAACACGCCGTCGGAGATCGGGGCCCTGGGCCCTGGCGCGCCGCCGTGCCTCCTCGCCGTTGCGCTCGCAGGCCCCGACGCCCGCGCTGAGCATCGCCGCGTTGACGCGCCCCATGTCTGGCAGGGCGCCGAGGGCGACCAGGGCGCGGCAGCCCTGCATCAGGACGTCGGGCTCGTGGCGCGCGCACGACTCCATCGCCTCCAGAAGAGAGGGGCGACGAGACCCAGACCCCCAGCGTGGAGCCAAAAAGGTGCAAACAGGCTGCCACGGGTGTCGGCCTCTTGGGGCGCTCACCAGGCCCCTGGACCACTGAAAGACAGCTCGGAATGGAAAACTGCCCCTGGGGACAGAGTCAGGACCCCTGGGGGCCGCGCATCGAGAAGCTCAAGACGTAGGATTCTCTGGGGATCTACGCATACGCCGCCCCTGGAGTACATGCCTCCCTGGCAAAGCCAGGAAAACGTATACCCCGATCCTGAGTCCAGGATGGGATGGCCAGGGCCAGCGTACGTGTATAGATCTCGTCGCCCGAAAGAATGAAAGCGGCACACGCGTGGATTTCCTGGGTCGGCGCTGGACCACCCCTCCCTGGCGCGCGGGGCGCACCAGGGTCGGCGCCGCCGCCAGGGGGGTGCGGTCCAGCGGCGATGACAGAAATCCGCGCGGAGCTTCGAACATCTATCCTTGTGGCGTTATGTAGTTTTCTTCCTCGAGCCTCGTAGATCACGTCTTGGACGCGCTCCGAGGTGCCCTGGAACTCCTGGAAGACTGCACGGTCGGACGCGCAGTTCCCGAGCGCCGACAACAACTCGCGCGACGTGTCTGGGTGTGCCACGTGGCGCGCCAGCGTCCCCAGCAGCACGGAGGCAGCCTTCACGCGGCCGGCGTGCGCGCAGGATGCGGCGCAGCCGTAGGTCAGGCACCGCAGCGCAACCGCAGACGCGCAGACGAGCTCTGTGTCAGCCGGGTGCTCGTACAGCGCACGCATTGGCAGTACAACCACGGCAGCTCGTCCGAACGCAGCCCGCCACTTCTCGCCAGCGGTGCCGCCTGGGTCGGTGCCGAGACCATCGCTGGCCGCCACGGCGAGCACCACCACGATAAGCGCTAGGGCGTACGGGTCTGTGTGGCGCCCCTCGCCCAACTGCACCAAGTCTCTCGCGAACAGCTCCAGGCGCTCGCTCGGGCCTGTGGCCAGCTCCCGGAGCCGAGGGGCCAACGAGTGCAGCGCCTCCAGCGCCGCGACGGCAATGTCATTGTCCCGCTGGAAGGTGAGGCCAGCTTGGGTCACGTCCAGTGCAGCCTCAGCGCTGAGGAGTTCTGGCTCCCTCTGTGCCAAGATGCCCATCACCCTGCAGAACTGCAGCGCGACCGACCGGCTCGAGGAGAACCTTTGCTGCGCGAGGGTCACGGCCCGGATGGCGCCCTCCTATCACAGGTTTCTCGAGAGTTTGGAATTCACGACGCTCTGATACCAGAGACCTCCCTTATGACACGCACGTCGTTGGTTCCAGAACCCTGCACGGATCCGCGAAATCCGCGCGAACCTCCGAGTTTAACTTCTGCTTTTATGTCATTCTGTCGTTCCCCCAGAGGCCCCTCTGGAGCGCCCCGCGCGGTCCTGGCTGGCCGCCGCCAGGCTTATGCCGGGCACGCTCACGGCTGCGGCGAGCGCCATGGCCCCTGCCCCCTGGATCTTCCGGTCCTGCGCGTACAGGTCCATGGCCGTGGTGATCTCGCGCAGGCCCAGGGGCACGCGTGCGCCCTTGGGCGCCTTGCCGGACGCCGCGGCTCGCTCGGTGAGGTCGAGCTCGCCACCAGCGACACCTGGCAGCAAGGGAGGGGCAGAGAAGAGGCAGGCGTCTGCGGAGCGGGAGGGTTCAACCGCTTGCTCAAACAGCAGGCCATCATCGCGCGGTGCTGAATCAGTCGGCCCTGAGCTTTTCCATTGAGATTGTTTCAAGCTTCAGCTCTTCCGCAGGCCGTCACAAAGAGCATGCTGTTCCGTTGGAGAGGGTTCCGCTAATGGATGCCTTGACACAATGTTGGGCACGGTGGTCATTTATCTGTGAGGCTTCCTTCTTTGACCTTTGAATATCAGCCACCCAGGGCTTCTCAACAGTGGGTGTCATGAGCACTCTGCGGGGGCCATGCACCCAGCCTGCGGGTGTTCAGAGTGCTCCTGCCTGCTTCCATGATGTTCTGCGTGCCTTTTCCCGAAGCCTCGAAAACGCGGCTCGGCACCAACACGCTCTACGATGGTGCCGGGAGCCCCGTCTTGGGCCGGTCTCGGGTTTTTCTCTTGGGCCGTCTTGGGGTCTCTGAGGGTCGGCCCAAAGAGACCCAAACCGTTCAAACCTTACGGGCTTGATCTCTGAACAGCTCGCCCGTAAGGTGGTATATGAGTAGACGCTGCTTTCGACGCCCAGTGAGGGAGCACGGGCCCTCGCAGTCGGTGGCCGACCGTGGCCCCCAATCGCGACTGTGTGAGAATATTCGAGGTCTTCTGCAGCAAGGGCGTCTTGCGGCTTGGGTGTCGCATTCTCCTCATCGGCCTGGCGAATGTCCCAGGCGACCCGCAAAGCTCCCAAGATCGACCAAAGACAGCCCCCGAGCTCCCAAGAGGGGCCCCAGAGCCCTCCAGGAGGCCTCAAAAGCGGCCCAGGATGAGAAGCTCAAGACAGGAGCCCCCCTCCCCAAGATGGCCGCCGAAACCGCCAGCAAGTTCTCAGGAGGAACCCAAAGGCTCCTGAGAGGCCCAGAGGTGCCCCCGAGGAGACCCCAAAATGCCTCGGACCCGCCACGGCTCCGGCACGGTGGCGATATGGTGGATAACTTTAACATCCGATCCTGGCCCCAAATTCCCTTCTGCCGCATTCAGCTGCTCGACGGAGGACCCCACCCCTCCCCCTCCCCCTCCCGGCCACACGCCTAAGGCCTGGGGGGCAATCAGATCCTGATACCTCTGGACCCCCGACCTCTCATGGGACGCGTTCTGACCAGGCCTTCGAGGCGAATCCGGCCGTGGCGATTGATCGTCCGAGGCGCGATAACGGGCCCCAGATCCGGAAATCGAACGAAGACGCCGGGATTGAACTCCTAATATCGCCATCTGGGGACGGGCAGCGGTGTCGGTGTCTCCTTCCTCCTCTTGAGGGTCCGCGCCCGCGCTGGGAATCGTTTATTCTTTTACTGCGGTACGCGGCCCTTCGCACGCGACATCATGTAATATATCTTGTTGAACGTCTCCCACTCACGAGCCTGGCCCGAAAAGTGTCCACTACACTGTGCGCGGTGGCTCATGGCCATGTTCCTGCAAGATCAACCAGCATCGAATCGGCAAATCGGACCGACTCGAAATATGCCTCATGTCGGGCTGCATTGGCACGGAATCGACATCGGAATCGGATCGGCCAGGCCATCGAAGAACAACAGCGCCACGCAAGCCACACTGCATCGATCGGATCACAGTGGACCCCGCCCCGCCCCCGAGGATCGATCGATTGAGCTCTCGGGCCGGTTCGGTGCTGCACTATCGCTGCGCGCTGTGCTGCTTAATAAAATTGCGTGGCCTAGCTGAGGTCGCTTTTCTGAAAGGGGGTCGCGGGCGTCACTGAGACGCTCGGGCCCTACCTGCACCGCCCTCCCCCACGCAGGGGTCTGCGGGCAGGGTAGCACCCGCTATCGGGTGCCCTCTCGCTGGTTCCTCTACTGCCCCGTCTTCTCAGCCCTTCGGGTGGGGGCGGGGAGGTCGGTGCAAGACAAATTAGTCAGGGAAGCTCGGGCCTCGGAGTGGGAGGAGGTCTCAGACGGAGGCGGAGGAGGAGGGCGTCCTTCCCTGACCAGCTCATGGAATCGTGCGCTGGTGCGTAAAAACGGGGTGGCCTGATGGGCCGCGCTCGCTGGGGCAGGACAGAGCCGCGCCGTCCGCTCACGCACATCCTCTCTCCGTGTCGTTCTGGCGAGACGTCCAGTTCTCGTTCTCCGTGCGGCGCCGCCCCGATCTCGCGGCTCGTCTCCAGCTGCGTGTCCATTTACTTCGCCTGGAACTGAAGCCTGCACTTCTCCGTGATGCCCCCTCCTTTGCCCTTGTTCTTGCGCGCGAGGAAGATTGGGATGCTGTCTGCTGTCTTCTCTGCCCTGCCACTCGATGACGTCCTTGTAATTTTTCTCGAGGTAGTCGCGCTCCGCTCCTGCGTCGGACATGCGCCCCGTGTAGTTCGCCATTTCGGTCCATGCGTAGGTGCGGGGGCTGTCGTGCGAAGCCGCGTCCACTTGTTCTCCCAGCTCCTGGCCAGGTGTTTCCAGGTTGTCTCTGCGCTCGATGTTGAACGTCGCCCTGTGGTATCGTTGTTCTCCGTGGTCCCAATGATCCTGCGTGTTGTTGCCGTTGGTCGTGTCCGCGTAAGTCACTTGCAGCTGGCGAACTCCTTGTACATGTCCTTCATGGTGGACGTGTAGTTGTAGCTTGCGTTGTTCTTCGGCTCGTGAAGCACTGGTAGTAATTGATGCGCTCGTTGATAGCATGGCGGCCTTCGGTAACTTTTGTACTCCGTCTTCTGCTTGAAGTCCCAGGCCGTGTCGTTGGCGTGGTTGGTGTTCCGCCTTCGGTGGGCGTAGTAGTAGTCGCCATATCTCCGTTGGTGTCGCCGTTGGTGGCGCTCGTCGTAGGCGTACTCGTTTGTGGCCTTTGGCGATATCGTTATAGTCTTCCTCTATATGTTTTCCAAGTTGTTCTCGTAATATTCCTTCTCCGAGGCGTTGTGTGGGATGGCCCCCAGGTGCTGGGCGTTCTGCTCGGTGCCTTCCCTGCCGTCTGATCATCCTGGAAGTCGCCAAAAATCAAACCATTCCTGCTTCGTGAAGTTTGCCGTATTAACCGTCCAGAAGTCCCTCTGTCGTGTTTCGTATCTTCCTCCTGCTCGTGATAGTTCTTCGACTCGTTGCTCTGTGCGTTGCCGTTGTGCTCGTCGCCGTTGTCGTTGGCGTGTCTTCGTGATGTCGTGCAGCTTTTTCCCGTTCTCGCGCATCTCCATGATCGGCCTCAGGAGGGCGCCCATCGCGCTCTGGAGCATCTGGTACTCGTTGGGCGTGGGCAAGTAGCACTCGATGCACGAAAGCCCCGTGTTGCTGACCCTGCATATGAGGACCGCGCGCTTCCGCTTGTGGGGTATCTCTCGCTTGGTCCAGAACCTGCCGCGCTCGTAGTAGCTCTTCTTCATAGCCTGGATGCGCTTCTGCAACTCTGGGTAGTAGCTCTGCGTCGATGTTACTTGAGGGCCCAGATGTTTGTCTGTGGCGTGTGGATTGCCCTCCAGCTCTGTCTCTTCCTGGGACCTGGGTGGGTCAACCGTCCCTGGCAGGTCCCTGGGTTCGAGCTCGTCCGTGCAAAACGGGGGGGGCGACGATTCGGCCGCAGGCGTGCGATTAGCCTCTCGGTGTACTTCGTGAGCCTCTCGCGGTAGTCCGTCGGTTTCGGCGCCTGGCAGTAGTACTTCTGCGCTGTCTCTACGGGGATGGTGTTGTTGTCCGTGATGAGCTGATCGACTCCCTTTCCTGCTGCGTCCGCTGTCCTCTGCTCTACCTTCTCGTTGACTTCTCCTCTGTGTCGTCCGTGTCGTGCTGCGAGCGCGAGGCTGTCCTTTTTCCGTCTCGTTGGCTGAGGTCGCTGTCGTATTTGTTGTCGTAGCGGGGGTCCTTGAGATGTCATCGTCTCGGTCATGCTCTTCGGTATCATGATGTACCTCGCGTTCTTCTCTCCGATATGGCGGTCGGCGTAGGTGCGAGTCTTCTGTCCCGCACCGTCTGGTAGTCGTTCGGGCGATCCGCCTTCTTCGAGCGCTGGATCTGCTGCTCTGCGTCGTAAGTCCTGCGCGTCGTCGTTGTACGTCTGGCCCGCCTGTAAGCCCGCCTGCGCAATGCCGCTCTGCGCGTTGATCTCCCACGTCTGGATGACGGCCGACGCCAGATCGGCCTGCTCGCGCGCCAGCGTGAGGGTGAGGCGTGCCTTGAGGTCTGATTCTGGTCGTCCTCCTTTCTGTGTGATGCCGTTGCCATCGTTGAGGTCGCCCTCGATGTTGCTTCTGTCTGTTGGTTTCTTCTATCCAGTTGAATCCTCTGCTCGTCTTAGCGCAGTACTGTGGCGGTCTGTAGTATCCTATGATCAGCAGCGTCTGGTCGTGATGCAGGGTGTTCGCGAGCCCTCTTCCACTGAGCTGCGGTTCCTGGATGTCGATGACGGTGCTCGTGCTGCGTTTGATATCTTCCCTTGGTTGCCCGCCCGTGTCGTAGTATCTTGTGTTGCCGCGGCGGTGTTGCGTATGTCGTCTGCGTGATGTCCCCTCGATGATGTCGAAATTGCTGTTCTCCCCGTATCTCACCGCGAGCCTGTCGGGCTTAGCCGAGATCTGGCAGAAGAGGAGCACAGCGACAGAGGCTGAGTGTGCCGCCATCATGCGGGCCGCCGCCCCTTCTGTCTGCTCGGTCCGAGGAATCGCATGGTGGCGGTCTGGGCTGCCCTGACAATATCTTAGGCCCAGATGGCAGCTCCGCCCCCGAGGAGGAGGAGGAGGAGGAGGAGGAGGAGGAGGAGGAGGAGGAGAAGGAGGAGGAGGATGAGGACCCTCGCCACCTGTGCTGGCGCTCTCGGCGGCGACCAGGTAGGCCTCCCGCAGCGCCAGCAGCGCCCTCGGCGCAAGGCGTGGCTCGGACTGGAAGCCGCGCAGCGCACTGCGCGCGGCCTCGGCCTGCTAGGGGGCCCTATGCAAACCCGACCCTTGCCCCCCACGATTTCTGAGGGTGAGGGTGAGGTTCGCTTCGTTCCCCACCCCCCACCCCAGAAATCGTGAGGGGTAAGGGTCGGGTACGCATGTGATCCCCTACCTGCTCGCGCAGCCGGTGGGGCGAGCGGGCGTCCAGCAGCACGTGGAGCCCGTGCTCCGTGACGATGGGCCCGGCCTCTGGAGGCGTGCGCTGGGCGGGCCTGATCGGCCACAAGGGCTCGGTGTGTATGTGATCAGGCGCCCTGTGCACCGAGTTCTCTCGCCGGGCTCCTTGGCCCCTTGGCCGACCAAGCCATTCTGTATGCATGTGAGAATGTGGGCGTACATCTGTATGCAAGAATGCACATGTACATACACATATGTATACATATGTATATATATATATATATATATATATATTAAAATCATCGCGCGCGCTTCGCGCGCGCTCAAGTTCTAGCCCAGGCCGGGGGGGCGCTGGACGATCTTGGACAACGTTATCAAGCACAGGCGCGCGACGGCATCTGAGGAGCTTCTGGGGTGTTCCGCATGCTTCGTCAACTGGCTGTTGGAGGCACCTCTTGGGTGCCTCTTGGGGGGGCGTCTGAGGGTCCCTTGGGGGCATCGGCTCTGCAATCTGAAGCCGTCATTGGCCGTCTTGGCTGCGTGGAGGCCCGACTTGAGGCCACCTGCGGCCAGATTGAGGCAATCCGGAAGCCTCCCGGGGGCCTCCTGGAAGCAGTTTTGACGCATCGAGGGCAATTTTGGGCTATTTTAAAACCTCTTGGACGTCTCCTAAAGGCCTTTTGGGCCCTCGGGAAGCTTTTGGGGTCCTCTTGCAGCCTCCTGTGGGCCTTTTGGGGGGAACGCTCTGCTGTTGGGTCGCGTTCCCCTTCTTGGGCCTTTCTTGGGGCTCTTGGGGCCCTCTCGGGCCGTCTTGGGGGTCTCAAGCACCGTCTTGGGGCCCTCGCGGGCCGTCTTGGGGCCCTCTTGGAGGCCTCTTCCTCTATATTGGAGCGGTATTGGAAGCCTCTTGGGCCGTCTTGGAGCATCGGGATGTCAAAAGGCCGAAAAAATTAAAACCCGTCAAAGTCCAATCGTAAAACAATGAGTTGTGCCTCTTGGGGCCACCTTGGGAGATCTCTTGGAACCTCGTCGGCCCTCTTGGGAGCTTCTTGGAGGCATCTTGGATCCGATTGGGGGCCTCTTGGGATTTCCCGAGAACCTCTCGGGGTAGAAAGCTCGGATTCTCAGTTCGAGTTTCCCTTCTTGGGCCTCTCTTGGGGCCGTCTTGGGGCCCTCTCGGGCCTTCTTGGGCGCCTCAGGCACCGCCTTGGGGCCCTCGCGGGCCGCCCAGGGCCCTCTTGGAAGCCTCTTCGGCTATCTTGGAGCTGTCTTGGAGGCCTCTTCCTCCTCCTCGTCCCCCTCCGCCTCCTCCTCCCACTCCAGCTCTCTCTCCTCCTGATCTTCCTCCTTCTCCTCCTCTTGCAGCGTGTTCCGGAAGGCTCCCGCCGGAACATGCTGTGCACAAGTGCTGTCACTGCTCCCGCCACAGTGCCCTGGGTGGTGGGTCAGAGGCCTCATGGGTGTTGGTTTGGATCTCGTGGTTGGCCTGTCGGGGACGTCGTGAAGGCAGTTTCGCAGCTTCTCGGTAGCGGTTTTGGGACCGTTGTGGCGCCTCCTCGGGGCTGTTTTGTGGCCTCTTTAGGCCTCGTTTGGGCCTCCTGGGTGCCTCTTGGGGGCCTCCTGGGGCCTCTTGGGGGCTCCTTGGGGCCTCCTGGGGTACTCTTCACGCGGGAGGGTCGAATTTTGGAGTCGTGGTCCCCTCTTGAGCGCATCTTGGGGCTGTCTTGGGGTTCTGTTGGGCTGTTTTGGGCGACTCTGGGACCGTCTTGGGGCCCTCTTGGGCCGTCTTGGGGCGCTCTTGGGGGCCTATTAAGCCGTCTTGGAACATCGGACAGCCGAAAAGGCTGGAAGGCCAAAATCGCTCGAAAACCTTCTTAAAATGAACGGTTTCGGCCTCTTGAAGCGCTGTGGAGAAGCGTCTTGAAGCGTCGTGGAGTGCCTTGGGGGGCCTCTCTGGCCGTCTTGGGCCTACCTTGGGCGTCCTGGAGCGGTCTTTCGGCGACTCGGGGCCCGCTTGGGCCGTCTTGGGAGCCTCTGGAGGCCCTCCTGGACTATTTTGGACCTCCCCGGCCGCCCCGTCCTCCCACGGGGGGTCGGAGGCGGCGGCCTCCGAGGCCTAGGACGCGGAAACCCGGTAAAAACTGCCAAAGAGAGTTCGAAGAGGGCTCTAAGACGGCTCAAGTGGGGTTCAGGAGTGACCTAGAGGCCCCGAAGACAGCCCAAGAAGGCCCCAGGACCGCTCCAAGAAAGGGCTCACAGGGGTACCCGACCTGACATTTCCAGCCTTCCTCCCCAAAGAGAGCCCTAGGGGACCCCAAGAAGGCCCCCCAAAGCATCCAGAATGCCCCAAGAGGCCCCCCATAGGCCCCCAAGAGGCCTCTAAGAGGCCCCCAGGCAGCTGAAAATGGTCCGCAGACAGCCCCCCAAACCGCCCAAGACGGCCCAAGAGGCATCCAAGAGGACTCCCAAGAGGGCCCGCAGAAGCAAAAATGAGGCCCCCGCAACTCGGAGCTCTGAGACGCGCCGCTCGAGGTGGTCCGGCCCGTTTCGCCTGAGACTTCCTCGCAGCACGTTTCGCCCGAGACACCGGCCCGTCTCGCCTGGGACATCTTTGCAACTCTGAGCTCTGAGATGCCGTGCGCAAGTTGGTCCGGCCCGTTTCGCACAAGAAATTCTCGCAACTCTGAGCTCCCAGATGCCGCGCAAAGGTAGTCCAGCCTGGGGGCCGAGAAGACCACATGTTACATGTCCCCACTGGGACCCTTGGAGCCCCAGGAGGCCCCAGAGAGCTTCAGGAAGCCGCAGAACGCCCAGGACAGGCCCCAGGGGTCCGCAGGAGATTCCCAGGAGGCTCCCAGGAGGCCCCAGGAGGCCCCAGGAGGCCCCCTATCAGAACGTGTCAAGTTAATACAAATCCGGTGTCGATTCGTTGATTTTTCCTGCTCTTGTGGCCCCCCCCATTTTGGGGGAACCCGACGGCCACATGTTAGATATCCCCCCTGGGAGCCCCAAGAGGCTTCAGGAAGCCCCAGGTGGGGTCCAAGAGGCCACAGGAGGCCCAGGAGGAAGCCCCAGGAGGTCACCAGGAGGCCCCAGGAGGCCCCAGGAGGCCCCCGCAACTCGGAGCTCTGAGACGTCGCACTCGAGGTGGTCCGGCCCGTTTCGCCTGAGACTTCCTCGCAGCACGTTTCGCCCGAGACATCGTCGCAACTCTTGGGTCCGAGATGCCGCGCGCGAGGCGGTCCAGCCCGTTTCGCTTGAGACATCCTCGCAACTCTGGGCTCCGAGATGCCCTGCGCGAGGTGGTCCGGCCCATCTCGCCTGAGACATCCTCGCAACTCTGAGCTCTGAGATGCCGTGCGCAAGGTGGTCCAGCCCGTTTCGCACAAGACATTCTCGCAACTCTGAGCTCTGAGATGCTGCGCAAGGGGTGGTCCAGCCTGGGGGCCCAGAAGACCACATGTTACATATCCCCCCTGGGACCCTGGGAGCCCCAGGAGGCCCCAGAGAGCTTCAGGAGGCCGCAGGACGCCCAGGACAGGCCAGGAGGCTCCCAGGAGGCCCCAGGAGGCCCCCTATCAGAACGTGTCAAGTTAATACAAATCCGGTGTCGATTCGTTGATTTTTCCTGCTCTTGTGGCCCCCTCCCCATTTTGGGGGGCCTCGACGGCCACATGTTAGATATCCCCCCCTGGGAGCCCCAAGAGGCTTCAGGAAGCCCCAGGTGTGGTCCAAGAGGCCACAGGAGGCCCAGGAGGAAGCCCCAGGAGGTCACCAGGAGGTCCCAGGAGGCCCCAGGAGGCCCCCGCAACTCGGAGCTCTGAGACGTCGCGCTCGAGGTGGTCCGGCCCGTTTCGCCTGAGACTTCCTCGCAGCACGTTTCGCCTGAGACATCGTCGCAACTCTGGGGTCCGAAATGCCGCGCGCGAGGTGGTCCAGCCCGTCACGCTGGAGACATCCTCGCAACTCTGGGCTCCGAGATGCCCTGCGCGAGGTGGTCCGGCCCATCTCGCCTGAGACATCCTCGCAACTCTGAGCTTTGAGATGCCGTGCGCAAGGTGGTCCAGCCCGTTTCGCACAAGACATTCTCGCAACTCTGAGCTCTGAGATGCTGCGCAAGAGGTGGTCCAGCCTGGGGGCCCAGAAGACCACATGTTACATATCCCCCCTGGGAGCCCCAGGAGGCCCCAGAGAGCTTCAGGAGGCCGCAGGACGCCCAGGACAGGCCCCAGGGGTCCGCAGGAGATTCCCAGGAGGCTCCCAGGAGGCCCCAGGAGGCCCCCATATCAGAACGTGTCAAGTTAATAAACATCCAGTGTCGATTCGTTGATTTTTCCTGCTCTTGTGGCCCCCTTCCCCATTTTGGGGGGGCCCGACGGCCACATGTTAGATATCCCCCCCTGGGAGCCCCAAGAGGCTTCAGGAAGCCCCAGGTTGGGTCCAGGAGGCCACAGGAGGCCCAGGAGGAAGCCCCAGGAGGTCACCAGGAGGTCCAGGAGGTCCCAGGAGGCCCTAGGAGGCCCCCGCAACTCGGAGCTCTGAGACGCCGCGCTCGAGGTGGTCCGGCCCGTTTCGCCTGAGACTTCCTCGCAGCACGTTTCGCAAGAGACATCGTCGCAACTCTGGGGTCCGAGATGCCGCGCGCGAGGTGGTCCAGCCCGTTACGCTGGAGACATCCTCGCAACTCTGGGCTCCGAGATGCCGTTCGAGGATGAACAGGAGGTGGAGGAGGAGGAGGAGGAGGAGGAGGAGGAGGAGGCATGTTTTAACGTGCCATGCCAGCCCGCACTGGACGGGCACGCGATCGACCTTGGAAACCGCAGTGGGTCTAAAAGCCCTGTTTGGGGATACTGCACTCCGGCTATAATATGTACGATTCTGCCCAATCGCTCTTTCTAAATATGAACTCGTAGGATTCCAGCAAAACGGGTGTCGACCCCCCTGTGCTCCTTGCCAACAAAACACACCTTCGTTTATCAAAACCGCCCATGCCCAAGAATCCCTTGCAGCAGAAAACGGGACGAAGTGCACGCGCGTGCGTCGTCGCGCGCGCATGCCGGAATCATTCATCAACTGTTAGGTTTCGCGAGGCATTCGAAATCGAGTACCCCCCAAACATACAAATACGCATGACTTTGAAATTTGGTCTTTCGAACAAAGGTAAGCGCGCGATCTTTCGAATTCCAGCGAAAACCACGCATGTTCAAACGTTTCGGCAATTCGACCAAGCGGGATTCTCGAGCGGGCATGTCGAAATCATTCGTGCGCCCCTGCGCGCGTGCTTAGCGGGGGGGTCCCTGTCAAATAATGCTGTGTGGTGATATATATATATATATATATATATATTGCCATGCCGTCGTCATCGTCATCGTCGTCACCAACTTGTATCTTCATCGTGGCTGCCGTTGTTGACGTCGCCGTGATACCGCGGCCGCCCGAATCCCCGACTCGCACTGAAGTGCCCGCGCGTCAGCGCGGCCTGCGAGACGCGCTGGGAACTGCCCGGCGGCCAACGCCACCGCGGCCGCGTCGGCCGCGCCACAACATAGAATGAGCTGGATAGATTGCACCATGTGGATTGCACAACACAGATTGCACCACATCGAGTGCACAACATATATTGCACCACGTCGATTGCACCATATCGATGGCACAACCTGTATATAGCATCAGAAACATTGCAAAGCATACGTAGCTAAATATACGCTGCTGGGGTCCACGTATTTATCATCTGTTTATACGTATATGTCTGTATGTCTGTATGCATGCATGTATGCATGTATAAAAATACAGACATCCAAACATACATACGTACATACACATGCATACATACATACGTACATACATACGTATACATACATACACACATGTATTGTGTACATACATATATATATATATATATATGGAGAGAGAGAGAGAGAGAGAGAGAGATTGAGCCCGGCCCTCCGATACCTCCAGCTCCTGCACGACGCGCAGCGCGAAGTCGACGTGCCCTCTGTGCAGCCGCCCGCTGGTCGAAGGGGTGAGCACCAGGGCCATGGCGGCCAGCATCCTCTTGGGCAGGTCTGGCACCGCCTCGTGCAGCGAGGGGCTCCTCTCGCACGAGAGAGCGGACGAACGACCACCAGAGCGGACGAGCGCCGGGGCCTGGCTGGGACTGGGTGGATGAGGCCGTGGTCTCTGGATTACGCTGCCCGCTGTGCTAGCACGTTACCAGAGGGGGGATGAGGAGTGGCGGGGCTCCTCTCGTGGGTGTCCATGAGGTCGGTCACCGCGTCGAGGATGGGCCGGGCCAGGCTCTCGGCCCTATCCCAGCCCTCGTGAGAGCCCCTCGCTCATCACACCCACCACAAGGGGAGAGGAAACGGACCAGCACCACCACCTGTGAGGGTGGAGGCAGCGGGGGGTCAGGGGTTGTGGTGGTGGTGGGTTTAGGTGCTGACGCAGGGTATCCTGCAACCTTGTGCACTCGCAGATCAGCTCATTCTGCACCCTCCCGGATGATGGTGGTGCGCTTCCCCTCTCACAGTATTGATCCAATTCTCCAGACTCATAGCAGTTAATCGTCGTGATTATCCAGGTCTTGGGGGGTGAGCCCAAAGCTTACAGCAAGGCTGAGCTGGCCAATGAGCAGACTCCTCATGATGAATCCTCGGTATGCCCAGAACGCCAAAACGCATAACCCACCAGGGAAGAGGAACGGGATCCAGGCGGGAGGGAGACTGGATGTGCGGTCGCGACGAGGGACTCCCACCTCGTGCCGGAACAGCGCCATCAGCGCCTCGAGCCCCCACAGGTGTATCTGCACGACCTTCGGATAGAAGGCAAGCATGTCCGACACCAGCCGCACGTGTGCCGACACCTCTAGAACAAGAGAAAACTGCATAAACATGAATTGATGGAGCTCCGCGCGGATTCTGTGGGGGCCCAGCGCCAATCCAAGAAATCCACGCGGAGCCCCAAAAGTTTCTGTGAATGCAAGTTGTTTCTTTCCCGAACCTCTGGAGTGCGTCCAGACTGGCCCAGAGCAGGCGGGGCAGGAAGATCGCACCGCATCGCCGATGCATCGCTGGTGCACCGGCGACGTCCCGGCGGAGAAGACTGGGCCCCAGATCGCGCCGCCTCGCCAGCGCGTGTCCCTGACGCGTGTCGTCGGCGATGCGGAGCGATCCTCCGTCCCCGTCTGCTCTGGCCCCGTTTGTCGGGCCCCGGGACCCTGCATCGGAAAATACCGTCGTGCCAAATCTCCTTCCGCCGCCTTCCGCCGACCTTCCTTCCGCCGGCCGACCCGCTGCTGCTTCCTCTTCCGCTGGCCTCCGCCCGCCTTCCGCCGAAGACGGGAGACACCGAAGGCGAGGCCCTTCCTGGAGCGCACCCTGTTGGGAGGCCCTGGGACCTCGCCGCCCTTCGCGAGGGACTCCCCGCTGCCTGCCACCGCGGCGACGTAGTCCAGGACGACCTGCGCACCGTCCCTCTCGCCGAGCAGACCGTCGCGCTGGGCCGCCAGCGCCTGCTCGTACGCCTGCGCGGAGGCCAAAGCACAGTGCGCGACCACAGACTCTCGAAGGTCCGCGCGGGCTTCCCGGGCCGACCCCCCTCCCCGCACCCCCCGGGCGGCGTCCCCAGTGCCGCCCCTGACTCGCTCCGCGTGCCGGGGAGAGGGCGCAGGGAGGAGGGGGGGGTCCAGCACCAAAACCGAGGAGTCCGCGCGGACCTCCGAAAGCTCATGTTTGACCGCAGTGGGTCCCCAGACCCACCCCACACTGGCTGGAAACCAATCATCTGTTCGGCGATCTTATCGACGGACTGCGGTCCCACCAACACTGTAAAGCAACTGTCTATCCGCGGCGCCCGCCGCACAATGACGACGACGACTACGACTACGACTACGGTTACGATTATGACTGCGACGTAGACTACGGTTACGCCTACGATCAACGAATCCAGCCGTTACTGCGATGACGACTACAATAGATTACTTCGCCGCTACGAAAGTTCGGCCAAAATTCAACGCCTCCCGTTAGGCGACGGGGCCCCAGTACAACGTTGGCAGTGGGCCCGTTAGGCCGCGGGGCCCCAGTACAATGTTCGGTTGAAGCATTTTTCGCTCCAGTCTCGGGCGGCACCGCCCTTTCGAAATCGAGCCCGCGGGTTTCGAAATCCAGTCGAGCTCGTTTTTGGGGGGAAGTCCTAAGCGAAAGCCGCATTTCGGAATCGAGCCCGAGGTTTCGAAATCCAGTCGAGCTCGCTTTGGGGGGGAAGCCCTACGCGAAAGCTGCATTTTCGAGTTTTCGGGTTAAAACTTTAAAAATTTTAAATGCCAGACGGTGTGGCCATTTCGAAACGGCGGTTTCGCTTGATACTTCCTCGAAAAAAACGAATTCGAACGATTTCGAAACTTTCGGGTTCGATTTCGAAATGGCGCTCCCGCCTAGGACTTCCGCAAAAATAGAATTCGAAACCTTTCTGCTTCGATTTCGAAATGGCGCTCCCGCACAGGACTTCCTCAAAAAAAAAAATCGAAGCCTTTCTGCCTCGATTTCGAAATGGCGCCCCCGCGCATGACTTCCTGCAAAATGAGGTTCGGCATTTGTTCCGTTCGAACTCGAAATGGCGCGCCCGCCACGGGGGTGCTAGCGTCAAGGTGATAACCGGCGCTCGGCTGCTCATAGGTTCTGTGGTGCTCTCAGGCTTTGGAGTGATGCTCACGACCGTCGTGGTGTTCATCACCAATGTGATGCTCAGGCGTTGTTTAGCTGAAAACACAAAACGGGTCAAAACTTTCGTAGCGCCGATGGGCATCTTACATGACCGACATGAATTTTTGAAGTTTGAAGTACCACTGGGCATCTTACACGACTGACATGAAGTGTTGAAGTTCGAAGTTCCATGGGCAACTTACACGACTGACATGATAGCTTGAAGTTTAAAGTGGCATCTTACACGACTGACATGAAGTTTTGAAGTTTGAAGTTCCATGGGCATCGTACACGACTGACATGAAGTTTTGAAGTTTGAAGTTACACGGGCATCTTGCACGACTGGCATGAAGTTCTGTAGCTTGAAGTTCCACTGGGCATCTTACACAACTGACCTGAAGTTTTGAAGTTTGAAGTTCCACTGGGCATCTTACACGACTGACATGATTTTTGGAAGTCTGAAGTGGCATCGTACACGACTGACATGCAGCTCTGAAGCTTGAAGTTACATGGGCATCTCACACGACTGACATGAAGTTTTGAATTTTGAAGTTCCATGGGCATCTTACACGACTGACATGAAGTTTTGAAGTTTGAAGTTCCCTTTCGCCGCTACGAAAGTTCGGCCAAAATTCAACGCCTCCCGTTAGGCGACGGGGCCCCAGTACAACGTTGGCAGTGGGCCCGTTAGGCCGCGGGGCCCCAGTACAATGTTCGGTTGAAGCATTTTTCGCTCCAGTCTCGGGCGGCACCGCCCTTTCGAAATCGAGCCCGCGGGTTTCGAAATCCAGTCGAGCTCGTTTTTTGGGGGAAGTCCTAGGCGAAAGCCGCATTTCGAAATCGAGCCCGAAGTTTCGAAATCCAGTCGAGCTCGCTTTGGGGGGGAAGTCCTATGCGAAAGCTGCATTTTCGAGTTTTCGGGCCAGGGCTTTAAAACATTTGAATGCCAAACGGTGTGGCCATTTCGAAACGGCGGTTTCGCTTGATACTTCCTCGAAAAAAACGAGTTCGAACGATTTCGAAACTTTCGGTTTCGATTTCGAAATGGCGCTCCCGCCTAGGACATCTGCAAACATAGAATTCGAAACCTTTCTGCTTCGATTTCGAAATGGCGCTCCCGCGCAGGACTTCCTCAACAAAAGAAACCGAAGCCTTTCTGCCTCGATTTCGAAATGGCGCCCCCGCGCATGACTTCCTGCAAAATGAGGTTTGGCATTTGTTCCGTTCGAACTCGAAATGGCGCTCCCGCCACGGGGGTGCTAGCGTCAAGGTGATAACCGGCGCTCGGCTGCTCATAGGTTCTGTGGTGCTCTCAGGCTTTGGAGTGATGCTCACGGCCGTCGTGGTGTTAATCACCAATGTGATGCTCAGGCGTTGTTTAGCTGAAAACACAAAACGGGTCAAAACTTTCGTAGCGCCGATGGGCATCTTACATGACTGACATGAATTTTTGAAGTTTGGAGTAACACTGGGCATCTTACACGACTGAAATGAAGTGTTGAAGTTCGAACTTCCATGGGCATCTTACACGACTGACATGAAGTTTTGAAGTTTGAAGTTCCACTGGGCATCTTACACGACTGACCTGAAGTTTCGAAGTTTGAAGCTCCATGATCAGCTTACACGACTGACATGATTTTTGGAAGTCTGAAGTGGCATCGTACACGACTGACATGCAGTTTTGAAGTTTGAAGTACCACTGGGCATCTTACACGACTGACATGAAGTTTTGACTTTTGAAGTTCCATGGGCATCTTACACGACTGACATGAAGTTTTTAAGTTTGAAGTTCCCCTTCGCCGCTACGAAAGTTCGGCCAAAATTCAACGCCTCCCGTTAGGCGACGAGGCCCCAGTACAACGTTGGCAGTGGGCCCGTTAGGCCGCGGGGCCCCAGTAGAATGTTCGGTTGAAGCATTTTTCGCTCCAGTCTCGGGCGGCATCGCCCTTTCGAAATCGAGCCCGCGGGTTTCGAAATCCAGTCGAGCTCGTTTTTTGGGGAAGTCCTAGGCGAAAGCCACATTTCGAAATCGAGCCCGGGGGTTCGAAATCCAGTCGAGCTCGCTTTGGGGGGGAAGTCCTATGCGAAAGCTGCATTTTCGAGTTCTCGGGTCAGAACTTTAAACAAATTTAATGCCAAACGGTGTGGCCATTTCGAAACGGCGGTTTCGCTTGATACTTCCTCGGAAAAAACGAGTTCGAACGATTTCGAAACTTTCGGTTTCGATTTCGAAATGGCGCTCCCGCCTAGGACATCTGCAAACATAGAATTCGAAACCTTTCTGCTTCGATTTCGAAATGGCGCTCCCGCGCAGGGCCTCCTCAAAAAAAGAAACCGAAGCCTTTCTGCCTCGATTTCGAAATGGCGCCCCCGCGAATGACTTCCTGCAAAATGAGGTTTGGCATTTGTTCCGTTCGAACTCGAAATGGCGCTCCCGCCACGGGGGTGCTAGCGTCAAGGTGATAACCGGCGCTCGGCTGCTCATAGGTTCTGTGGTGCTCTCAGGCTTTGGAGTGATGCTCACGGCCGTCGTGGTGTTCATCACCAATGTGATGCTCAGGCGTTGTTTAGCTGAAAACACAAAACGGGTCAAAAATTTCGTAGCGCCGATGTATAGATCACGATTGCAATCACTCTTACATCCGCCACTGCAGTCACGACTACAACGACAGCCACTGGTTTCGATTGCAGTTATCATGAGAAGATGATCGCGCATCTGCTCGCTTAAAGTGAAGCCCACCATTGGTATTCCCTGGGAGAAAAGAAAACACTGTATCCAGCCCGCCCAACAATAGAGAGAAAATAATATCCAGCGCGACGACGACGATTACGATTACGATTGCGATTGCGATAACGACCACGAGGAGGAGCAGGAGGAGGACGAGGAGGAGGAGGAGGAGGAGGAAGAGGAGCAGGAGAAGAAGGAGGGGGGGAGGCGGAGGAGGAGGAAAGGAGGAGGAGGCGGAGCAAACGAACCCTTAGAGGAGGAGGAGGAGGAGGAGGAGGAGGAGGAGGAGGAGGAGGAGGAGGAGGAGGAGCAGGAGCAGGAGCAGGAGGAGCAGGAAGAGAAACAGGAGGGGAGGAGTGCAAAACTAAAGACCTCCTGAGATTATGCAGTTCTGTTTGGGTGTGCCAGCGCCTCTTCCACTGCCGCCGGGCCGGCCTCCTTCCCGCGGGAGGCACACGAAAGCCCTGGCCTTGCCCATGGTGAGCCCTGGCATGGTGTGAGCGTCTTCCAGGCCATGGCCATGAAGGCGTCCACATCATTCTGGGGCACAGCATGGCCCTGGCTAGGCATGATTGCTGGTGGTATGTAAGTGACTCTTGCTGATGATGAGGAGGAGGAGGACGGGAAAGGAGGAGAAGAAAGACGAGGAAAGGAAGCGGAAAAGAGTAGAGGAGGAGGAGGTGGAGGAGGAGGAGGAGGAGGAGGAAGATGAGGTTCCCCAAGAACGACACCGCTACCTGGGCATCGCCCCAGTCCCAGGATGCGTTCCGACCAGAACTTCACAGAGGGTCCCCCCGCGGCGACGAGGGCTCCACGACGAGCAGCGGCATCCCCAGGCATCCGACGCTGTTTTTTCGGTCCGCGGCCCCAGGAGGTGCCGAGCTCTTCCCAAGGCCAGTTCTTCGCCCCGGAACCATCCTGCAGAGGGGGGTAATGGGGGAGGGGGGAAGGCTTCTTAGAAGCAGCCTCCTTCCGAGAAGCCTTCCCCCCTCCCCCATTAGTCCCCTCTGCGCGCGGCCGACGTCTCTATGGTCCCAGGTCCTGGAAGTCAGGATGCCGAAATGAAGGAACACCACCAGGTCGGAAAGATGAAATCTACGAGCGCTGATATAGAAACAAATGTGGGCAGGCGTGAAATTTGGAAGGCTGGTGCCAGGCAGCGAGAGGAGAAGATGAAGGGGAACCAGGACAGGGAGAGAAGGGAAATGTCATGCTGGTCCCCATGTCGTCCGCTTTAGTCTTGAAAAAGGAAGCGCCTTGTAGCCTTGCAGGGCCTCTCGGGAGTCTCCTGAGGCGTCTTGAAATCATCCTAACATGATCAGTCGGCTGTCGGGGGGGAGGGGCCCTTCAGGACGAGCAGCGGCATCGACATCTCTGTCCTCTCTCGGCGGCGTGTCCAAGGGGGAAGTGAAAAAATGAAGGCCTTCTCAGAAGGCGGCGGGGCTTCTCAGAAACCCTCCGGCCTTCTGAAAGGTTTGCTGCGTCTTCGGGGAAGGTTTAGAAAACTTCTCAGTGAATCCGAGGCCTTCCGAGCGTTCTGGAGGGTCCAGCCCTTCTCACTTCCCCTCAGGCTCGCCGCCGATCCTCGTCCTCTGAAGTGCGACTCTGGGATCCGACTTCGCGGAACAAAGCAAGAAAGGCGAGAACTCTCGACCAGAGCCGTAGACCCCGTCTGCCTACCGCATTTTTCGAGCTGAGACGATCTGTGACGGCCCCAAGGCCCGAAACAGGGCGAAAACGCCCAGGGCGAAACAAAAACTGCACACCCACGATCTGAAGGACTTACCTACTCTGGACATGTCGCCGCGCCGTTTGTATTGAACGCGCCCAACTGGACGAAGTCGACACTGCAACGAGCCCCACGGCAAGCCCACCGCGTCCGAGGCAACGTTTGCCTTGGTGCCCGAGGCGCCCTCCCCAAGACGTAAGGCGACGCGTCGGGACAAACGGCGGAAGATCGAGGAGGCGGAAGAGGGGGAGGAGGAGGAGGAGGAGGAGGAGGAGGAGGAGGAGGAGGAGGAGGAGGAGGAGGAGGAGGAGGAGGAGAAGGAGGACGAGGAGGCGGAAGAGGATCGAGGGGGATCGAGGAGTGCCCCCCCGGATCCTTGATTGCGGCCAGGTCTGGCGGGCACAAAGCCGGCGCGAGGTCCAGGCACGCCCCGTCCACGTAGCGCTCGCCCGGGTCCGGCGGCCTTCTCGTAAGGAGGCGCGTAGCCTTGTTCACGGACGCCACAGGCGCGGCGAAGAGGCTGCCGAAGAAGCCAGGCGCCTTCGGATGCGCTACGCTTCAGCAAACGGTGCTTAAAAAGAGCTCACCGTCTGTTCTATATCCGATTTTCGGACCGCCGCAATATTAATACAGGGTTCCGACTGGGCCCTTTTCGGGTGCTCATGTGGACGTTTTCAAACCGTCTCGGGGGCCTCCTGGGGCCCTCTGGGGCCGTCTTGGTCCCTCTGGGCAATCTCGGGGGCCGCTTGGGGCTCTCTGGGGGCAGTATGATACATATATATATATATGCAAATACACATACATGTATACATGACTACATACATACATACATACATACATACATACATACATACATACATACATACATACATACATACATACATACATACATACATACATACAAACACACAGACATACACACATATACATATGCATAATTACATGCTTACATACATATCTACATACATGTTTACATACATACATACATACATACAGACAGACAGACATACATACACACATACACATACATTCACATACATACACATACATACACATACATACATACATGCATACATACACAATACAATCACACACTTTCACACCTGTACATATATACATGTATACATACATACATACATACATACATACATACATACATGCATGCATGCATGCATGCATGCATGCATGCATGCATACATACATACATACACACATACACACATACATACATACACATGTACACATACACATTTTCACACATATATGCATAAATTTCTTGTGCATATATACACAACACGACGTTGGCGCTTCGCGCCATGCGCCTCGTTCCGGAAAAAGGTCCCCTGGCAAAGCAACAAATGGTCGCTTGCTTCAGCAGGGGAACCTCGAGACCTGGACGGGCGACTAGCTCTTCTTTTTGTATCCCTGGTGCCTGCTGACGCCGCGATCGCCCGATGCGCTTGCACGCTTGTGCGCAGGAGTGTGGAAGGAATGATGATTTTCTCACGCGCGAAAGTCCTTGGAGAAAGTAAGGAGCGTTCCCATGACACGCCGAAGAAGTCGCAGTAGCTCCGAACAAATCGATGTTTGGTCGCTCCCTGGATGCCTGGAGGGCTCCAGGCACTCAGGAAATCTTCGATCGTCGAACTTCTAATCTAGAGACATTTGCATGTCTCTCTCGATCGAAGAATTTTAACCTCGAGCCTTAAGCGTGGAACCAAAATCGTCGGGTCAGCTCGATATGTTTCGTAGGAGAACGCCGTCAAGGCGCGGTGCTCTGTTGGGCCGTCCCGAAGCCTTTTGGGGCCGTCCTGGGGCCTTCTTGGGCCGTCTTGGGGAGCTGGGGCCCTCCAGAGGCCTTCTGAAGCAATCTAAGACCCTCTTGGGGGCCTCCGGTGGCCTTCTTGGGGGTCTCCCATGACTTTCGTAGGTCTCTCTTGGGGGCCTTCTGGGGGGCATCTTGTGCTTTTTGTGGGCAATCCCGGGGCTCTCTGAGGCAGCTTTGGGGCCCTCTTGGCCGACTTCAAACCCTCTGGGGGGCCTCTTGGGCCGTCTTGGGGCGATGTCGGGGGCCCATCGGGCCGTCTTGGGCGCTGCAAAAACCCAGAAAGCGGATATAGGCGTGCGTGTATATATGCACATATATAGAGAGATCATACGCACCTCTCCGAGGGAATAGAGTTCAGAGGCGACTAATGCATACGCGCCGCGTCGTTCGCGATTTTTCTGGCCGTTTCGCTACGGGCATTGCAACATACGCTTTTTAGTTGTAAACCAAAAACACCACACAAAAATTGGAAGTACGTAAACTTTGTGTTTTCACAGTGTCTAAGGATTTCCCTACCGTTCAGGACACAAGCGAAATCCTTGTGTACAGAGTTACAAATGGATTCCTGGTGTGCGGCCATAAAATCGAATCCTTTTGGGTGCAACAAATTGATTCCTAGTGTGCAGGAGGCAGCTTAAATCGTTTAATAGAGAATTATAAACTGATCTCGTTGGAAGCTGAGAACTTAAGCAACATCAGTATGCAAATGCCCAAACACCGTGATAACACGTATTGTCCTTGCTTCGAGGTTGTTTGTTTGAGGGGGGGGGCTTTGCTTACGCATAGAAGCCGTTACAAATAAGAGCACCACGTCTTTGGCTCCCCAGCTTGTCTTTGTTCGTCTTACTTTGTCTGTTGTGATTTTTCGTCGACCAGGCCCCCCCTCTCCTTTCGAGCCTTGCGCAAAGGGATTCTATTTGAGAGCCACACACTAGGAAACAGTATGAAAGTATGTGCGAAACGATTCTAATTGACTCTTACACCATAATAATCAATTTGCTGCACCCCAGGAGGAGATTCCATGTGATCGCCGCACAATATGAATCCATGACTAATTCTGCGAAAAAAAAGGACGTCACTTGTATCCGAAACGGTAGGAATCAATGTGTCGAGCCCTTCAAAATAATGATATGTGATGGCCTCACAATGAGAAGCAACATGTAAATGCTTTGACACTGTGGAATCACAACTTTCCCTTTGCTTCCAGGTTTTCTGTGTCTTCTTGATTTACACGTAAGAACATATTCTACAACCCTTCGAGCCAGGCGCAAAAAGGGACTCATTAGAAGGCCACGCGATAATAATCAACGTGTAAGTACGTATGCACGGATTTCAAATGTCTCCTACACGGTAGGAATCAAGTTCCAATACTCCACGGAGGAAATCCATGTGATGGCCGCACAATCGGAATCAACTTGTAAGTCGGCACACAAGAATTCTATTGTACCCTACACGCTAAGTATCAATGTGCAGAGGCTTTCAGAAGGATCCCACGTATTGGCTGCGCAATAGGACCCATGTGTAAATGCCAAAACACTGTGAAAGCACAGGTTTTGTTTTGGTACTCAAATTTATGTGTTTTTTCTTTCCTGTGCTTCTTTACACTAATCATATATACATATATATATAATCGAGTCACAAATGCAAGCACAGCGTTTTTGGTCCTTCAGATTGTCTGTTTTGTCTTTTTCATTTCTGTCGTCGGCCAGCCCCCCCCCCCCGAGCCAGGCCCAAAGGGGGTCCACGTATGAACGCCACGCAGAAATAATCAGGTTGTAACTCCGCACAAGAGATGTTCATGTATACGACACGCCAAGAACCAACCCATACATCTTCGCATGTCGGGGTAACCAAAAACGAGCAAGGAGGAACACAGGAGCGGCCCTTAACACAAATGTAACTATATCTATAAATACTAGAACCACGCGCGCGCTTCGCGCGCGCTTAGGCTCTGGTCACTCCCGCGACCACGCTCAACACCGCCAGTGCCGCCACGGCTACCACCGCCCTTTCCGCCATCACCGCGGTCACGACCACTTCAGACTCCATGTCCATTCTGGGCACGACCACCCCATCCACAACGATTGCACTGTCCACGACCACTATAACGGCCATTGGTTCAACCTCTGCCTGTACCACCACCAATACCACTACCATTGCCACTGCCACTGCCGCGAATCCACGACCACTATCATTACCACCACGGCAAGTGCCACCGCCGCGACCATCCTAATCGTCGGTAGGACCACAATCGGCGCACGAACTGAAGCCAACTGCAGCCATCACCACCACGACCCCTCCAGGGCTCTCCTGGGGGCGTCCTCTGGGCCCCTTGGCGCTGCCTTGGGAGCCTTTTGGGGCTCTCTTGGAGCCCTCTTGGGCCGTCTTGGGGCTCTGATGAAATGTCTCGGGGCCCTCTTGGACCGTCTTGGAGCTCTCTTGGGCCCCTCTTGGGGGCCTCTTGGCCGACTTGGGGATCCCACTGCTTCTCCTCACATCCTCGTTATTCAATGTTCACTTCTCTTCGCCTCTGCTCGTTTCCTAGCCCTTCCTCGCCTCGTCCTTTTGCGCACTTTTCCTGCTCAGCCTTCCCTCTTCTTACTCATCGTCATGATATGTTCTGCATATTCCCTCTTTCCCCCTGCTCCCCCTCTCTTCCTCCTCTTCCTTCCCCCTCCCCCCCGCGTGGATCTCCGCTGGAGAAGCCTCGGGAAACTTTGGGAGGCCAGGTTCGTCTGGGGCGTTTTGGTGGCCTCTTGGGGCCTCCTTGGGACCTCTGGGGGCGGTGGGCTTGAAATGTTCGTGGGGCATCCTCTCTGGGCCCCTGCTTGGGGCCGTCCTGGGTCCCTCTTGGGGACCTCTTGGGCTAGCCAGGGGTCCTTCTGGGCTGACTGCGAACCCTCTTGGGCTGTCTTGGGGCGATCCTGGCGGCCTCTCGGGCCATCTTCGTTCCCCTGGAAGGGCAAGGGGCGAATCCATGAAAAATCTACGTTTTCCGACGGGGACGGTGCCATTTTTGCATCTTGGGGCCCTCTTGGGAGGGCTATTGGGGCCCTCTTGGGCTGTCTCGGGGGCTCCCGGCAGCCCTCTTGGAGCCATCGTCGGCGTCTTCAAGCTACATTTCGAAGCTCGTGCGTCCTCTTGATCAGTTTGGCGGCCTCCGGCGCCCTCGGGAGCCGCCCCGGGGGCGCCCCAGAGGCCCCGGTACCCCCATGCGCGCTCGAGGTCGCGGTCCCGAGCCCCCAGTCGTAGCCAGGCTTGATCGGCCAACTCATGTAATCTCATTTCGGTCGCTTCCGACGTCCAGGGACTCCCTTGGAGGCCCTGCGCAAGCCTCGGAATCGTATAGAAGGGGAAGTACGGAAACGCAGAAATCATTAATTCATTTCCTTTAGGTTAGCACGGCTTAAAGGCCTTTGTAGCTGTTCCTGGCCTGGTCATAGATGTACATATACATACATATATACATATATACATATGTATATATATATATATATATATATATATATATATATACATGTGGATGTATGTGTACACACGCTTGATATTAACAATATATATATATATGTCCATATATATATATATCACATAATGTGTATGAAATATTATAGTACATATATGTTAAAAAAAACATGCATACGTGTATAAACATGTAGTTTATGCAAACATATAACCACATGGTGCCATATAGCAGCAAAAGGGAAGGAGACGG